GCCTCTCCAAGACGCCTTGCCATGTTTTGCAGATATCGGCCTGTCAGCTCTCCAAGCCAGATAAGGTCTGTGACTATAAATCCTCCCTTGAAAGACTTCACTGGATGTGAATGAGCAGAATTCACAGTAAATTAATAAAAGGGTTTTTTGTCGGGACCAGGAGTTTGCTTCATGTTCTTGGGAAGCTTTGGTCAGAACATACGGTAGCTGTGATTGAGTTTGGGCTTTGCCGCATGTTTATATATTGGAACTCACACTGATAATACCCACCTAGATGGGTGTCCCAAAAGGGCTTGTTCAAAAGTTAACTGGACTTTTTTTGTTTTTTTCTTGAAGACCTTTTGTTTCTCATCCAAGAAGCTTCTTCAGCTTTCACTTCTCACCCAAGAAGTCTTCAAGGGGAAAAAAAGAAAGTCCAGTTGCCTTTTGAAAAAGCACTTTTGGGACCATCATGACCTGAATGATTGACAATCTCCATAGACATCCACCTAGTTGGGTAATGAAATGTCTACAGTATTGTCTATAGACCAACCAACAAGCTCAGAGAAGCTCAAGATATCACCCTATCTTCACACCATCATTGGAGGTCTTTAAGAAGAGACTGGACAGTCACTTGTCTGAGATTGTATAAGTTCTCCTGCTTGAGCAGCGGATTGGACTAGAAGGCCTCCAAGGTCCTTTCCAACTCTGTTATTCTGTTCTGTTACTCTACTCTACTCTACTCTACTCTACTCTACTCTACTCTACTCTACTCTACTCTACTCTACTCTACTCTACTCTACTCTACTCTATTTTTCTATTCTATTCTATTCTATTCCATTCTCCCTTTGGGCACAGGCTTGGTGAGAAACCTTTCAACCATATCTCAACTTCAGGTCCCCCCATGGATTTGTTTGTAACATCACTGTAGAAAATCTATAGACTTGAAGGAACTGTGAAAAAGAAAGACTCGTTTCTTGAATGCAACTCAAGGCCATCTGAAGCCAAAATGGGCTTTGATTTTAGCAGCTAAAAAGGAATATCTAATTAATTCGATCAGGGACCTTTGTGTAATCTCTCTGTTCATCTTCATGCTGCTTAAGCAACCGATGTTTGCTCTTGAAACATCTCCGAGTGCCTTGTGTGCATATAAATAGGTTCAGGGGAAGATGCTCTGAGTTTCATTTAATATTGAACATGTGTCACTGTCTTCCTGGATCCGCTTGGCTAAATAAAGACGGATTTGGCTATTTGGGGATTTTCGTACCGAGTTGAACTTGATAGTTCTGGTTGGGGACCCAGCAACTCAAGTCATTTACAAGCACAAGTTAGGAATAAAATGTTATAGTGAAACACAATTAAGTTGACAGTTTGTTTAGAACAGCCTCTGGTACTTTATGGACTGTCCCAGTGGCATATCTGGGAGAGAGCTGCAAACTGTTTGAGTTAACTTTTTAAGGAGTGAAGGAAGAGGATAAAATTTACAAGTGAACTAAGACTTGACATCTCCTGTCCTTCTGCGCTGCTATGTTTACAAGTGGATGTTGTCACATTTTCAGGTACAACCAAGCAGTCTTACTATGGTTAATTTTAGCTTGGAACAACTCAGTTCTCTGCTCAGTTGCTAGGTGGGCATGGCCTAGTTGGCCTCCTGTACAATGGTGGTGGGGATTTCAAATTCCCCAGGCTCCGGAGGCTTTCTTTAAGCCTCTGGGCCGGGGTCTTGAAGCCGTTATGGACTGGATGAGGGTTAACAAGCTTGTGCTCAACCCAGAAAAGACCGAGTGGCTG